GTCATGATATAAGACCCCCCTGTAAAAGTAAACACATACCCTGAAGTTGACTTTCTACCATCAAGGTCATCAGCCATATCCTCATTTGTGTATCCCTTTAGAATTGGTTCTGAGCCTCTAAAACATAAGCACATTTTAGCAGTATATCTAAAATATATGAAAATCTATTTTACTACTTTCCAATAATCTTTACCAGGATTAGAAAGAAACATGTTGACCTAACCAACAACATGAGCAATATATAATGAGTGCAACTCACAGCATATATCAAACTCCTAACTATAGAGAAGTAAGGAACAACTGTCATTTCTTCATTTTCTTTTTTAGTAGAAAAACATGATTTCTTGTTAAGTGTGAAGTGATTACTAAGCAATGTGCTAATTGACTTAGTATTCTTCATATTAAATTTATTTAGAACCTGTTCAACATATTCCTCTTGTGACAACTATAATTTCTTAGCTTTCCTATTACGAGTAATTTGCATACCTAAAATCTATCATGTTGGTCCCAAATCTTTCATATCAGAAAAATCAAATAACTCTATTTTTAAACTATTAATCTTTGTAGTATCTTGTCCTACTATCAACATATCATCCACATAAAGGAAAAAAAAATGACAAACTTACCATCTAGGAATGTATTGAAGTACACACAATGATCTGCTTCTATTCTGATGTAACCATGACTCACCATGAAAGAATCAATTTTTTTGTACCATTATCTCAGAGCTTGTTTCAACCCATATAAGCTCTTCTTCAACTTGCAAACCATGTGCTCTTTTCTTTTTACTTTAAATCTCTTTGGTTGATTCATCTAGATTTTTTCCTCCAAATCAGCATGAAGGAATGAAATATTCACATGTAATTACTCAAGCTCAAGATCTAAACTAGCAGTCAAACTAAAAATTGCTTGAATGGAGCTCATCTTCACAATAAAAGAAAATATCTCATAAAAATCGATCCCTTTCTTATTATTGAAACCTTTCACTACCAAACAAACCTTATATTTTACTAGCTTCTCACCATCTATTTTAAGCTTGTATACCCACTTGTTTTTCAAAGTTTTTCTACCTTTTAGAAGTTCAGCTAGCTCATAAGCATTATTGTTGTTCAAAAAACTTGTTTCCTCCTACATTGCTTTCAACCATTGAGCTTTCTCTTTATGATTATAAACTACTTGGAAGCTTTCTTGCTCCCTCCCTTCAGTAACTACAACATAATTAGAACTGGAATATCTGGTAGAATGATGATGTGTTCTAGTTGATCTTCTAAGCTAGGTTTCTTCTGTAATCTGAGGCAGCCCCCTACTCAACATCATCTGGTTCTTATTAAAAGAACTAAATAACTCCTTTTTTAAACTATTAATCTTTGTAGTATCTTTTTCCTACATCAACATATCATCCACCTAAAATAAAAGAATGACGAACTTATCATATGGGAATGTCTTAAAGTACACACAATGATCTATATCTGTTCTAATGTAACCATGAATCACCATGAAATAATCAATTTTTTTATACCATTGTCTCAGAGCTTGTTTCAACTCAAACAAACTCTTTTTTAACCCGCAAACCTTATGTTCTTTCCCTTTTACTTCAAACCCTTTAGCTAATCCATCTAGATTTCTTCTTTTAATTCACCATGAATGAATGTAATTTTCACACCTAACTACTCAAACTCAAGATCTAAACTAGCAGCCAAACCAAGAATTATTCAAATAGAGCTAATCTTCATAAGAGGAGAAAATATCTCATCAAAATCGATCCCTTTCTTTTGATTGAAACCCTTCACTACCAAACAAGCCTGATATTTTACTAGCTTGTCACCATCCATCTTAAGCTTGTACATGCACTTGTTTTTTAAAATTTTTTTACCTTTTAGAAGTTCAACTAGCTCATAGGTATTATTCTTCTTCAAAGAACTCATCTCTTCCTACATTGCTTTCAACCATTAAGCTTTCTCTTTATAATTTTAAACCTTTTGGAAGCTTTCTAGCTTCCCCTCTTTAGTAACTGCAATATACTCAAAACTAAGATATCTAGTAGAATGATGATGTGTTCTAATTGATCTTCTAAGATGGGATTCTTCTATAATCTGAGGTGCAAGGGGCTACTCCCCCTACTTAACATCATCTAGTATTAATGTCTCATCAATCTCTTATTCATCATGTAACTCTTCCTCATCTGTGGCATTTCCAATTGAAGGAAAAATTAGTGTAAGAAAAATAATATATTCACTAGTAATCTTTTATGAAATCTCAAAGTCTGATAAGGTTTTATGTTCATAAAAAATTACATATATGGACCTATAACTTTCTTCTTCTTCAGATCTCATAGCTTATACCCAGACTCTGTATCTCTATAAACTAGAAAAATACTTAGAATAATCCTATCATCAAGCTTTTATCTTTACTCTTTAGGCACATGCATAAATATCTTACACCCAAATACCTTCAAATGAAAATAAATAACATCTTTTCCAGACCATACTCTATAAGAATATCAAAATGTAAAGGAGCTGATGGAGATTGATTCATTAAGTAGCAGACAATGCAAAGTGCTTCACCCCACAATGGCTTTAATAGATTAACCATTTTCAATATGCATCTAACTTTCTCTATGAGGGTTCTATTTATTCTTTTAGTCATACCATTATGTTGAGGAGTATCAGGAACAGTCTTCTCATGTATGATTCTATGTTGTAGGCAGTAATTCTCGAACTCTTTTAAAGTATATTCACCTCTATTCTCATTAAGAAGATACATCAAAGATATTCCTTTCTCTTTTTCTACCATGGCATGAACCTACTTAAAATATTGAAGAACATGGTCTTTTGTTTTTAAAACAAATACCCAAACCTTTCATGAAACATCATCAATAAGAGTAACAAAGTATGTACTACATCCTACAATTTCTACATAAATAGGACCACATACATCAAAGTAAACTAATTCAAGAGCATTCTTTTTCTTTCCAGATCAACTATTAAAAATTTTTTTATGTTATTTACCATACAAACAATGATCATAAGGATTTAAACTCATACATTTGGCAAAAGGAATAAAAGACTTCTTTTGCTAGAATTTGCAACCTTTTCTCACTCATATAAGTCAGTCTTTTGTGCCACAGGTGTGATGAAATATCATCTTCAGTTGCTTCAATGGACCTTTAATAACCTTTACTTAAGTCTTATAAAGTTTGTGACACAATCTGCCTTTAGTAATAATAATAGAGCCTTTAGTGAGTTTCTATTTTCTATCACCAAATAGGTTGTAATAGTCATCTAGATCCAGAGCATGAGTAGAAATCAGATTAAAAAATAAATCAAGTACATATCGCACATTTTTCAAAATCAACGTGCAACCAACATCTGTCTACATATAAATATCACCAATACTCATAATATATGCGTAGCTGGTATCACTTATCTTCACTCTGCCAAAATTTTATGCTTTGTACATAGTAAAGACATCTCTCCTGAGTGTAGCGTGATAGGATGTTACAAAATTAACAATCCATTCAGTATCAAAATCTTTAACATGTCTATAATCATCAACAAATGAAAGCATAACCAATTCTTCACTATCATCAGCTACAGTTGCAGTGGTGTTCTAATCATCTATTTTTTTTAGTTTTTTTCTCACTATTTTATTTATTTTTTAAATCCTGTAGTTTCTTTTCATATGTCCTTCTCTAGTGCAATGATAACAACTGAATTTTTCTTTCAACTGTGATTTGCCTTTAGATTTATAGTGCCCC